ATGCAATTTAAATATATTGTTACCCAAAGTAGGGTCTTCTCACAAGAAATACAACTGCAAAATAGGAAAGCCCTAGCACCACTTGTTCAAAAGTAATGGCTAAGGATAAGTTTTTGAAAGGTAGGTCAAACTCAAAGGTCAAAGATGATGATTTCTTAAGAAAATGTTTAATGTAACAAGGATTTCATATGTGAAGTATGAATACCCTAGCCCTTACCGTTCAAAAGTTATGGCCAAGGTAAAAAAAATATCATAAGTACAGAAATCTCCAAGATCAAGGTCAAAAGGTCAAAGTTTTTAGTATCCAATGAAAGGTAATGCCAAAAAACTACATATCTGAAGTATGAGAGTACTAGTATCTACCGCTTAAAAGTTATGGCCAAAGTAAAAATTTGGCATTTTTGTGTAAAATGGGACAAACTCCAAGGTAAAGGTCAAATTTGGTGGTACCCAAAGTAATGTCTTGTCACAAGGAATACACATATTAAATATGAAAATCACAGCTCCAATAAATGAAAAGTTATGGTCAAGGTTAAGGTTTTTGCGGACAAACAAACCGCCAGATAGACAGATGGACATACAGACGAACACGATAAAACTATATACCCCCGAATCTTCGATTACGGGGACATAAAAAGAAATGGTATTCAATTAACTTTTCATATTATGATACATTATAAAGAAGACGTTACAACAATGAAAATGTTTGTTCTGATTTTCATTTTAAATTCTCTGAAAAATATACTCAGAACTGAGTAAAAGGGTGGAGTAAAACAAGAATTAGGGTAGAACCTATGTCGGAAAAGTCTTTGTCACAAGATTTTCAAACTTTTCAAAATGATAAATTAGTACTTGCTTATCAATCAGTTAAGATATCATGATATAGTTCCTTGTTTTTTAATCTAGAACAGGCTGTGAAACTTGGTATGGTATTTACATACTGCGACTTCACATTTTCAAATATTTTTAGGGGTACTTGTCATAAAGGGAGTACGAAAAATCACAAAAATACTTCTTCAAACATCGTCGTTCATAAACTTTATTAACTGAATAATATTAAACAATATTTTATCAAGAATAATTTCTTTTTTATTCAATTAACATAAGAGATTAGTCCACCATTAAAAAAAATAGTCAAATGAACTCTATTATTTTTAGTCAATTATGCACCCTATATTTGTAAATATTTTTAGAAGTCTTAGTCACAATGTTTTCAATCTTCAATATGATGAAGAACATAACCAAATGATTACAAAAAGTGATTAAAATATATACCTTTCCCCTCTAACTAATGAAAGATAGGCTATTTACCGATACTCATATTCTTGACCTTTTTGCAATTACACGGGATTTAATAATTAAATGACTGTTTGGGGTTACTTTCAGATTAAATATTTATCAGAAATTGTACTTTTACTTTAAAAAGATCATATTTAATAGAAAAATTGTAATCAAACACCAAGAATATGAATAGGTAACAAATATTTGTTAAAAGGAATGCACATCATTTCAATATAGATATCACAAAAATGTACACACGAGCAAACGATCTACAACACGTACATCTTTGACTTAGACACATTTCATCAAGATATTACACTATATAGCTGGCAACTAAAGATTTCTTACGATTTATGCATTCCTTCAAAATGGTTACATACCATTTAAATTATTACGAAAGTTGTATGTACATTGTAATTTCATTACGCTAGATAGTCTTGGGTTTGTCAACTTCAGGTCTAGATCTAGTAAATAAAAGCTGCCTACATATTTTCTCTTATTCCAGTAATACATTGCCATTAAGCATTATAAACCAAAAATATATGAATTGAATTAAGATTATGTTGGCATGATTGAATTCTGTGAATTTCAAAATGCAGTATTTTCTACCATTTCTACTGAAGATGTCAAGTACGGGAAAAAGTGGCATTGAATTAATTATGACGTCATAATGGATCTAGCACAGGTTAAACACATTTACCAGCTATGATGTCATACGAAGTAGGCTCTACGTTAAAAGAAATGTAATGAATACTGTGTGCTAAATCAAAAGTTTATGTCTACATGTATAGTTTTTGCATGAGAATGACTGTGTATTTTACACTAGCCCATAGCTTTACAGAGCATATTTTTAGGTCTTATACTTACCCCACCCCTTTCTTATTTAGGAGGAAGTCGATATTGAACAAAAAAAAAAAAAAAAAAAAAAAAAAAAAAAACACCCTACCTTTATTTTTCTATAAGAAGGAATTAAAAATAAGCTTAAAGTAATCTACTATTCTACTAATTTTTAACTGTTACTTTGCCACAATACTATCAAGTATACCTCCACCAACATTTAAAGTATGCTTTAATCATGGCGAAGTAAATTATGATATGATAGTACTTGTGTGAAGGCTTAACTTCATTTCAATATTTTATCTAGAGCCTCTTTCAGAATTATTGAAAGGTATAGAGTTTTATTTATATTTTTGCTTTTCATTTATTATTTATTTATTTATTTTTTTGATTTAACGTAATGTTCTTTTTTTGGGGGGGGGGATAAAAATTTCCTCCTCTTTCATTGTCAAATAGGATTTGCCAAACTTAAAAAACTAAAAGTTGAAATGACGGAAAATTTAATTTTTCCTATTAAAGAGTATTTAAACCTGATTTTTGCATGGTTTGATTTCTAAAAACAAGTGGAATATCATTCTTTAAGCAAACATTATAAGGAGGAATATTAAAAAGAATTTTATTTACTTGACAATTAAAGAATCTCTTTTCAAACACAATTTTAGCATTGAAAGACTACGTGAGTCTCTTAATTATTTCATACGACTTTTTGTATTTTTCTGGTTACAGAAAATGTAGAAATTAGTTTCGCTGTAAAAAAGATATCAAAGAGTGTATATTTTGTATCACTTTAAAGGGGGTCATTTTTCAATGGGGGTCATTATTTTATAGGACTAACATATAAAATAATGACCCCCTAGGACCCTTTTTCTACAAAAAATGATTTTTTTCTACGGGTGGGGGTCATTATTCGTCTTTACACCGGCGTGAAGCGTTGTAGCTCACATCCCTCATGAATTTTCAAAAATTATATTCATTTCATATATTAACATTATTTTTCTGACAAGTTGCCACAAGTTACGCCATTAAACTGCCATTTTTAAAGCAAAACAGAGGCCTGTTCAGCAGAGCAAGCGTTCGCGAGCGCTCGCAAAAATTACTATTGGAGGTATAAGGAATTTTGGCGAGCGCTCGCGAACGCTCGCTCTGCTGAACAAGCCTCAGATTGCACTATATAGTTTGACGTCAATTACGGTATTATGACGCAACAGTGGAGATATTCGTGCTCATCCATTGTAGTTCATGAGAAAATGTACAATACTCTAATTTGCAAAGAATCTTAAGGAAAATATTTGAAAATGTAAATGTTAGTATATCAACCTGTTTAAACAAAAGCATGACACTAGCCTTGTTTACATAACAAAAGTTTGGACCTCTAAATATGTCTTGTACATGTATCTAGACAACTGGCGTTCAAATGACAAAGGAAAAAACAAAAGTACACAAAATCAAAATACAAATAGATGACTTTTTTTTTATTTGTATAACAAATAAGATTTAAAAAAAACATAACATTTATCAGAAGAATAATATCATGACCTAAATGATATTCTAACGCTATTATCTCAAACTCAAGCTAAGGGGACCAAGGAAAATGTTTCTATGCACCTGAGAGTTTGAGGTATTGAGGATAAAATACAAAAAGAAAAATTTGTAGGGATTGAGGGGTGGTTTTTTTTGCCTCAAATATCATTTTTGTTTTTCAAGGAATTTATTTTTGGTAGTGCCCCCAAAATAAAAATATTTGGTGATATATCCCCATCCCACTTGAATGTCTTCCTGGGTTAAGAATGGTTGGTAGTTCTGGTGATGTGAATATGTTTGATTGAAAAGGAAATAAGAAGACACTCTGTTTACATGCATCAAACTACAGTTTGATAAGCCTGCGTAGCACATGGATTAGAGTGTCTGCTCTAGAGTCGCAGAGTAACGAGTTTAATCTTTATGTCGCGGGTTCAAATCCCGCTTTGGGAAGTGGAGACCGGTCCTTCCGATGAGACCATATAAACCGAGGTCCCGTGTGGAGGTAGGTGCTGGCACGAAAAGGTCCCACACTGCTTAATGGCCGTAAATGCTGCCGAGTATGGGACAAAATTTCCATCTCTTCACCGTCAAGTGGTGGTTTCTCTATATGAGTGAAAAAATTATCGAGAGGGACATTACACAACATACATATAAACAAAACAGTTGGGAGAATACCTATCAGAAAACTGTTATTCTCATGTAAGAAGGAGATATGGAGATAACGAACAGAATTCAATCTCAAAGTCCATAAAACAATACAAAATAAGAGCAGAGCAAACACGGACCCCCGAAACATCAGAGGTGGGATCAGGTGCCATGGAGGAGTGAGCATTCCCTGCCGACCGGTCACACCCGCCGTGTGCTCCTTATAATGATCGGGAAATAAAGGAAAAAATCCGTCGTCAATTCAGTGTATAAATAATGGACTAACCATTGGTATGAAAAACATCAGTCAGCATTTGACTCAATGATAAATTGTATTTGCTGACAAGGTCATTGTATCGACCAGAAGAACGTACGAAATGATGACTTTAAACGAGAGATTGATGATATTCTTGTTTCATCAAATTGCTTGTCAATAATATACCTCGTTTTAGAAATTGTTCATACGAAGAGCATGCTCTTGCGTATCGAATCAACTGAGATATATATACTCCGTATGAAGGTGATGAAGGTATATTGCTGCATACGAAATGGAAGTTAACGATAGAAAAGTTAAAATCATCACGTTTATCATATAGCTTGGTTGTTAGATTACCATTAGTGTCTTTTTCAAGTAAAATATCCAAGTATAAAATAGAAGTGTCGGACTCTGAAACTAGAATTTCAAAATCATGATTCATGTAACATGTATTGATATTTTACACTTTGTATTGAAACACCTTGACAAGTCCTGTATGGTATCCCACCCAGAGTGTAGACTTGTGTAAGGACAGTGAGAATGGTTGGTTCACTTCATTCTCTGTCAGTAAGAACTTCAAGAACTCCCCTTCAGCACTCAGCAGATGAATCCGTTTATTGTTGAGGTCAGTAACAAGGATGTTACAGAGGGAGTCGCACACTAAATCAGTTGGAAGAAAGTTCTTTGTCAGATTCTGTCCACGGTAGACAGTCTTTATATGACCAGAGGGAGACATAATCACTAGTTCACCTGTAGTGTTACTTGTACGGTTCACAACACAGATATCACTGTTACTGTTCTGTGTGACTCTGCGTGGCCATGTAAACATTCTGGTCTGACCGTCCTCCTGGTACTCATACTCATGGATGACATCACCTGTCACTGTGATGTGTCTCACCAGACGTCTGCTGTGTGACTCTAATTTGATTTGATCTGATTTCAGGTCTATCAAGGTGACCAGTAGTCCACCGTCCACTGACTGACAGATTCCTAATGGTCCCAGTCCTATCGGATCTGTATTGACGACTGTAGAGACAGATCCAGAGGGTGACAGACAGCTGATGGTATTGTTACTGGGATCAGTGAAATAAACATCACCATTATCAGTCACACACATGTCTCCAGAAATGAAATTTAATTTTAGTTCTTTTGTGCCTTGCTGATTGACTTTTTCTATATATTTTGATTGATATGCATGTATGTAACATTGATCTTCTCTGAATGTCTCCATGGAATATATTACGTTTTCTCCATGTTGAAATGAGTTTTTTTGCATTAAAACTGCATCATCTAAACTCCAAGTCTTTCCAATCATAGACTCGAGCAAATTGTCATTTATTTCACCTCTAGTGAACCTCACTGAATGTTCACAGTTTGTCATGTGAACCTCCAATTCAGATAACATTTTTGTCAGTTCTATGTGGTTGTCAATCAAGCTGTAATCTGACATGGTGTTGTTGTTCTTCTCCATGAATTCCACTGTGTCAACAATTCCTCTCTTCTTCTTCTCTAACTCAGATTTCACGTGGTTCAGTTGCTCATTCTTTTTAACTAGATTGTCTCTCAATATTTTCTCATGGCACTTTTTGATTTCTGTCAACCTGGCCATTATCTCATCAACATGCTTCTGTAGTTTTTTTGTCTCCGAGTCACAAAGCGCTTTATTTTCTGTGATCTGTTTTTTCACCTTCTCATTCTTCTCATCAATCCCAGGCAAATCCTCTTCCTTGATCTTCCTCAGAAATTTAAGCATACCTCTTCTCCTTTGGGTAGCTGCAGTGGTTAGAGTTTTCCAGTTATGATCTCTATGATTTGATTTCGCACAATTACCACAAATAAATTCAGCACAGTCCTCACATATAACATCAATAGGTAAATCATGGGTGTCACACATTACTATGTGCTCCTGAGGGGAACCCAGTGGAAATTTTGGTTTACTGGCTGCCATGTTTGTCGAGTGTTGCCTACCAAAATGACCTAGTTTTTACCCTGCATATTAGAAACCCCAAAGATTGAATGTGTAGTTGGACTTTAAATTTTTTCAATATGACACCAAGATGTGCAATGAAATGTAAACACACAGGTGAATGCTGCAACGTACATTAACATTAATGCAAGAGATATGCATTGAAACTAGAAGCTTATAGGTTTTGACAAGGATTGAGAATTTCATGTATATTTGTTTTTCAAATAAAAATGCATGAAGCCATTCCTGAATCAAATATGCTAAGTCTTTGTGGCACTATTTATCTTTTTTAAAACTTAAGGTTTATGTGAAATCATTAGTGAGACACTGAAACTTGCATTTTATTCCTAATTCAAGTACATGTATTTGTGACGCATATCAAGAGCATCAAATTTATTATTTTTCAAATAAAATAAAATGACATGTTTAATAATTGAATGATAATTTTGTACAGATCACGGGGAGTGGATCTAAGCTACCAGAGGGGTGTGCTGAGACAATATGTAAGGGGGTGTTTAAGGAGATACTGGTCCAATCCTTATCACAGACGGACAGATGTACGGTGTAAAGACGAATAATGACCCCCATCGAATAATGACCGACGGTCAATTTTCGACAGCGAAAAATGACCCCCAGTCAATATTCTACGGCGAAAAATGACCCCCGGTCATTATGCGACGTCGAAAACTGACTCTTTTGCCCGTAGAAAAAGTGTTACTTCCCTAAAAATTTGCAGAACCCACGAGAAGAAAAATGACCAGTGTAGAAAAATAACTCCTTGTGGATTAAAGCTTAATTTTTTAGGGGCAAAAAAAAAATTAGATAAAGAAGCATATTGGCCAAAATGCTCACCTGAGCTAATTGGGAATAAATTGATGATATGTTGATCTCATAACATTATACAATTATAGCTATATTTTAAGGTCAATGCGATGATTCAGAATCTAAAGGAGTAAAAGATTTATCGAGCCTAAAGTGTTGGGTAAACATTGTTTTTCGATAGTGAAAATCATCGTACTGACATAAAAAATCAGCAGTATTATATATTATTATATCCTCCGCTTGAAAAGCGGGAGGGTATATAGTGATCGGGATGTCCGTCTGTTACGCTTTGGGGTATCCATCTCTTATCCGCAACTCCTCTTATATATAAAAAGATGTGTTTGTGAAACAGCTATGCCCCTGTACGGCAACATAGCGCCGTTTAAACTGTTCTTGAATGCAATTTAAATATATTGTTACCCAAAGTAGGGTCTTCTCACAAGAAATACAATTGCAAAATAGGAAAGCCCTAGCACCACTTGTTCAAAAGTAATGGCTAAGGATAAGTTTTTGAAAGGTAGGTCAAACTCAAAGGTCAAAGGGTCAAAGTTGATGGTTTCTTAAGAAAGGTTTAATGTAACAAGGATTACATATGTGAAGTATGAAAACCCTAACCCTTACCATTCAAAAGTTGAGGCCAAGGTTAAAAAAGTTTTTTTCATAAGTACGGAAATCTCCAAGGTCAAGGTCAAAAGGTAAAAGTTTTTAGTATCCAATGAAAGGTCATGCCAAAAAAATTCATATGAGAAGTATGAGAGTACTAGTATCTACCGTTTAAAAGTTATGGCCAACGTAAAAATTTGGCATTTTTGTGTAAAATAGGACAAACTCCAAGGTAAAGGTCAAAAGGTCAAATTTGGTGGTAACCAACGTAGGTCTTGACACAAGGAATACACATATAAAATAAGGAATCCGATTATAAAGCAAGGAGCATTAATTCAAATTTGTCGTATAAAAATATTTTTACAGGGACTACTTATTCATATATCCTAGTTGAGCCGGTCAAAAGGTCAAATTTGGTGGTACCCAAAATAGGTCTTGTCACAAGGAATACACATATAAAATATGAAAGTCATAGCTCCAATAAATGAAAAGTTATGGTCAAGGTTAAAGTTTTTGCGGACAAACAGACCGCCAGATAGATAGACAGACAGACATACAGACGGACACGATAAAATTATATACCCCCGAATTTTCGATTACGCGTACGGGAACATAAAAAGAAATGATCTTCAATTAACTTTTCATATTATGATACAGTATAAAAAGATGTTACAAAAATGAAAGTGTTTGTTTTGATTTTCATATTAAATTCTCTGAAAAATATATTAATTTTAGAACTGAGTAAAAGGGTGGAGTAAAACAAGAATGAAGAAATGTAATGAATACTGTGTGCTATATCAAAAGATTATATCTACATGTATAGTTTTTGCATTGGAATGTGTATTTTACACTAGCCCATAGCTTTACAGAGTATATTTCTAGGTGTTATGCCCACCCCACCCCCTTACGTATTTAGGAGGAAGTCGATAATCAACAACAGCAACAACAAAAAACTACCCTACCTTTATTTTTCTATAAGGAGGGACTAAAAATAAGCTTAAAATAATCTACTATTCTACTAATTTTCAACTGTTACTTGCCACAATACTTTCAAGTATACCCCCACCAACACTTAAAGTATTTGCTTTAATTATGGCGGAGTAAATTATGATATGATAGCACTTGTGTGATGGCTTAACCTCATTTCAATATTTTATCAAGAGCCTCATTCAGTATTGTTGAAAGGTATAGAGTTTTATTTATATTTGCTTTTCTTTTTTTTGATTTAACGTAATGTTTTTTTTGGGGGGGGATAAAAATTTCCTCCTCTTTCATTGTCAAATGGGATTTGACAAACTTATACAAGCTAAAAGTTGAAATGAAGGAAAAATCATATTTTCCTATTAAAGAGTATTTAAACCTGATTGTTGCATGGTTTGATTTCTAAAAACAAGTGGAATATCATTCTTTAAGCAAACATTAAAAGGAGGAATATTGAAAAGGAATTTTATTTACTTGACAATTAAAGAATCTCTTTTCAAACACAATTTTAGCATTGAAAGACTACGTGAATCTCTTAATTTTTAATTTCTCACTTGAAAATGTTCATTGCAAGTCTGGTTGTTTTACCGAGGGGGGGGGGGGGGTATAAAAAGAATATGTATTTGCAAAGATTTAATATCTTTAATCATATTTTGATAGTCTGCATGTATAGGATGGAACATATGAAAAATATAGAGCATCGAGGCGTCCTGTCATCCATTTCTATTTTTATTCACTCGTCCAAATGAAACCTTATTAATTCGAACAAATTACTTATTTGTACGCACCGATATTAATTCGTCTGTTCCCAGCAATTTTTTTTCTGAAACAACGTATTAATGGAGTCAGTAAAGAAAAAAAATTATATTCATAAATTTCATCTCCAGCGTGCGTTTGATCCATTTACATGTACCATCTTTGATTTTCTAGGTTTGCTCCTTTTTCAGAGAAATGATTAATTGATTGATTGTTATTTGCTTAAAACTGAATTGTCAATATTTCGACAGAGAGAAATTAGGAACTTTATTACCCCTACGTGCTAAGAAGAACAAAGATCAAATCTATTCGAACAAATGCATGAATTACTCGAAGGAAGAACAATTATAATACACAGAATATTTTTCCCTTTCACCTGTTATAATTTTTGTATCACTTTAAAGGGGTCATTTTTCAATGGGGGTCAATATTTTATAGGACTAACATATAAAATAATGACCCCTAGGACTTTTTTTCTGCAAAAAATGATTTTTTTCTTCGGATAGGGGGTCATTTTTTGTCGTTGAAAAATGACCCCCGGTCATTATTCGATGGGGGTCATTATTCGTCTTTACAACGGCACTAAGTAGTATAAGCGGTCTGGTTGGGGTGGTCAATTGAGTGCACTTTTGGCCCTGGGGGGGATAGGTGGGTCAAGAGAGTGCAGATTGGGGGTCTGTGGGGATAGGGGGGTCAACTCAGTACAGCCCTAACCCTAACCCCTAACCCTAACCCTAGGGGCTAGGGGGTTCAACTCATTACATAGGGCTATGCCCAATACTGTGTTTACACTGTATATAGTTTTTTTACTATACGCTGCTACTACGATTTGGCAGCGACTCAAGAATGTGATTATGACGTCACGATTTCATTCACAGTCTAAAGCCTAGCCTAGCCAGTTCAAACTGGATTTTCTGAAAACAATAACAATAACACACACAATACAGACAATAACAGATTTTATTCAGAATCAAAATACATACAACAATTTACTTTTTCTTCTTCTGTGCCTTATCAGTCGTCAGGGATAGTTTTCTCTTGTGAGTAGTGCTGGGGCCTGGAATCTCTCTGTTGTGTTCCTTTTTCTCTTTTTTGTCTCCTTCTTTCACTAAAGGTTTGGTCTGGTGTGTCCGTGAAGTCTTGGGTTCTTGAGGCTTTTTCTCCAGTTTTTCTACTTCTTTCACTAAATTGTTTGTCTCCCTTCCTAGATGGCGAATCTTTTCCATCACGTCTTTTCAAAAATCACCAATATCATTATGAATTCTGTGCATGATATAGGTCATTTGATTTAGGATACCGCATAGCAACCTTCTTTCAGTTACATCCATAAGAATCTGTGTTTCTGATACGGCCTGTGTTGTATTTTCCTCTGTCATAATGTTTTAAGTCTGTCTAGTTCATAGTGCTTACGTAGAGTGATCGTAGATTTTCAGGTCTAGTTTATATATCATGGGATTGTTTAGGGTCGTGTGCATAAATGAGTTGGACTTACGTTTTGATCGTACTGTGTACGATTTTGTACACAGTCTAGTCAGCTAACTACCTATGCATTATGACGTCATACACTTGTAAAATTAAAGTTTCATTTTCAGTCTTTTAGTGTTTAAACAATTAATTTGATAACCATTTTATTTGTGATATTAATAATTATGCTTTTTTTATTATCTAAAGATAACATGATGAACTTTTCTCATCTGGAGTTAATGTTAAAAACAATTTTTTGAGATTAAAAACAAATATTTTCATGATCTTTTTTGGCATTGTACATGTTTGTTCAGGTTTTAAACATGCATTGTTTAATGCAGTACTCTGTCATATTAACAAAATGGTTTTATTTTTACAGTCATCAACATGGAAGATATGTTTTGTTCCTAACCATCTATAATCAATTCTCTATGAAGTTCAGACTGTCTGCTCTTCCTTTGGAAATACACAGTTAGTCAACCAACATAGAAACACACAAACTTGAAGGTAAAGTTTCAATGAGATACAATTGTAATATTTTATTTATTTATTAATTTTACATATGCATGTTTATATTTTTGAATTGATAAGTAAATGATTTATGATTTTTTTAAAATCATGAGGTTGATGGTCATGGTCATGTTTAGACTATATTGATCTCCTTTAGAAGAAGAGCTCCATATAAAGACATATAAAAATTCATGATCAAATTTTAAAACTAAAATGTATGATTTTTTTCTTGCCAAATGATAGTTAACAGCTGAAGATAGCATATGTATAGAATAAGTTAAATATGGCTAATTTGTTAACCCACCAGCTTCCTTAAAAGCATAGTTGGTAAAGATAGCAAGTTTTGACTCCAAAACTTGCTGATGAATTCTGAATTTTCCATCTAATATTAACATTATATCACAGGGAAAGAATACTATAATGTGGCCCATCAGGATGACCAGAAAAAAAATCGCAATGACCCTCTTGACTATGTATAAAGACTGTAACCTTATAACTGATGTAAGATGATCTGATTGTGTGATTGAGATTGAATACTGTTCGTTATTTCCATATCCTTCATTTAAGGTACTTTCAATATCATTTCTCTGAGTTTGTGTTCTTTCTTTTTAATAATGTAGTAATGAATTCAAGTGTTATATCTCCTTTAACCTCATTAATATGTATGCTTCCAAAATCATAGATCTGTCTGTATAGTTTCTTCAGCTCTTTGAACACAAATACCCTGATTCAAACTTTTGAGGTGAACATCATAGAGACATCATAGATGATTATCAGAGTGTATATATCACAATCTTGACCATAAGGTCAATTTAAATGGTCAAAGACACAACAAATGAAAGTGAAAATTTTTCTTTTTTTTTATCAGAATACATAATTTTGTAATAAACAAACACTGGAAAGTTACTCTCATAATGAGCCTTAATGTCTTCCAAGAGTTCAGTTTGGACTTCCTCCATTAATCCTTGTATCTTGTAATCCTTGTATCTCCAATGGTTTTGTGGGCTAAAAATCATGTGTCTTTAACAATCTTTTTTTCTGACAACTGTTTTCTCTTATCATCTATAAACTTGACTTCTTCTCTAGTCAAAGGTCTTTCAGGGTAATCCAAGTAATTCTTACCCTCTTTTGGAAATAAATGGTTATATTCTTCATTGGCTTCTTCTGCAATCAAGGGTCTTTCTATGTAATCTCTGACAACATTAGGATCACCCTTTTCTGGACATAATTGGTTATATTCTTCTTGAGAAATGATCTCAATAGTGCCATCTTTTTTTATTTTAACTGGTATACCTCTGTCTACATCTTTCTCTGAAAGAACTCTCTTTCCAAACTGAATTTTACTCATTCCTTTACTCCTTTCTTTACTAGAGGTGTTACCCATGGTTATTATGAAAAGTCAAAATCTTATGTTACAACTTGTATTTATACCTTTTTTGTCTTTATTTAGAATTCCATCAAGCTTATATTACATTACAATTTTTTTTTTCAACTAAGACATTATTGTTTTTGTTTTTCAGGATTCTCTAGTGAGGGCTTATGGAAACGATCTATGTCTACTCTTAGAATGGTGAAAGACTATCAGATTATGCAAAGACTAACAGAATATCCTCTCTTGGAACACTGAAACAAGAAAACCAAACTTAAGATGATGGAGGATTTAAGAAGAACATAGATAAATATGATTTCCAACGAATTTAACCAGTACGATCATAGATTGTGGTTTACAGGATGACAAAGAAAGGACCCAGGATTGTATCTTTCAATGTCAGACACTGACTATGGATAAAGTGTAATCATTTATCAAACTGAGATCTAGTCAAATCAAGTATTGAAAACATGATTTTCTGATAGTATGAGATCTTCAAAAAAAATTAATTCTCACGGACCTCAAAGTATCTGAATGTGACTTTTATTTTTACCAATTCATATTGAAGACTGTTGTTATGTATGGGAATTACACATTTAAACCTTTTATTTTTCATCTAATTTTTACAACCCCCTAGAAATTACAGAGATATCCAGATGCTGGATTTAATGTTATTATTTAACTTTCCTGGAATTGTAAATATATTTTGTTTTGTATGTATCATGTTTAATTTTGAATTTAAAATTGGTCTCAATAAGACCCCCAATAAAGATGCAAGTGTCACATAATCTGTGGTTTAATAATATCTTGAATATCTTTATCATACCATATTCATCATACTAATTACATATAGAATGGTTGTAGGAATACACTTTGTTGTTTAGGACACTTTGTCAAGGTCAAAGCATAAGATTATTGAGATGACTTCTTTGACAATAATTTGTAACCTACAAACTTCACATAATAAGTAAAGAATGAATCGAAGATTTTCTATAGATTTTTGGATCATTTTTCTCCTGGGTAAAAGTCAGTTGCTGAGATAATTAATACTAGCCTAGCCTAATGATGTAACTTTAACTAGAGACTTTATATCTGCTATATTGGGTGGCATGGCACATTCTTTGGGAAGAATTGAAATGTAAATCAAATGTACAATGTTCAAGGGTGTTTATATGACTATTACTATGTAATACCTAGGGTTTCTGTAAAAATCCTATATTCACTACATAGATAAAGACCGGTATAATATATATTTTACACTATGATGAAGGAAAAAAAGGTCAAAAGCTCTCGCCTTCATATCTTTCATATTCTGTCATACACAACAATAGATGAATTGCAGTCATATAACAAACTGAGGTCTAATCAAATCCTAGAATTGATTTTCTGATAGTATGAGATCTTCAAAAAAAAAAAAAAATAATTCCCAGACTTCAAAGTATTTAAATGTGACTTTTATTTTTACCAATTCATATTGAAGACAGTTGTTATGTATGAGAAGTATACATTTAAACCTTTCATTTTTCATCTTATTTCTACAACCCCTAACAAATTACATAGATGTTTAAAAGCTAGCTTTGGTGTAATTATTACTTTCCTGGAACTGTAAATACATTTTGTTTGTGTATGTGTGTGTCCTATTTCGAATTTAATAGGTCTCAATAGGACCCCCATAAAGATGTAAGTGTCCCCTGATCTGTGATGTAATAATATCTTGAATATTTCTATCAACCATTAGACTTCATGCTTACTACACAGAACAGGTTAAAGTAATACACTTAGTTTATAGGACACTTTGTCAGGGTCAAAGCATGAGATTATTGAGATTACTACCTTTGACAATAATTTGTAACCTGCAAAATTCACATCATAAGTAAAGAAAGATTCTGAGATGATCTATAATTTTTTGGATCATTTTTCTCCTGGGTAAAATTTAGTTGTTGTAACTTTAACATTTTGTGATAACCTAAAGACTTTATATCAGCTCTATTGGGTGGCATAGCATATTTTTTGGAAAGAATTGAAATGTAAATCATATGCACTATGTTCAAGGATGTTTAAAGACTATTACTCTGTAATACCTTAGAATTCTGTAAAAATTTTATTATCACTGCGTAGATAAAGACTGGTTGGAATAATTTATGTTTTGAAATAAGGTTTAGGGAAAAATACGGAAGCGTATTGCTGCCAGTTGAAAAAAAAATATTTTAAGTCGTACGTACGACATAGTAAGTCGTACGTACGAGATACTAAGTCGTACGAACGAGATACTATGTCGTACGTACGACATAATAAGTCGTACGTACGACATAATAAGTCGTACGTACGACATAATAAGTCGTACGTACGACATAATAAGTCGTACGTACGACATAATATTAAGTCGTACGTACGACATAATAAGTCGTACGTACGAGATACTATGTCGTACGTACGACATAATAAGTCGTACGTACGACATAATAAGTCGTACGTACGACATAATAAGTCGTACGAACGAGATAA